TGCATAAAGTGTAAGTTTAGACCACAAGTCTGTGGGTGTTTAGTTAAAAGAAGAACAGGCTGTGTCCTTGAAGCAGCTTAAAGTCTTTAAAAAGTATTTATTTCAAGAGCATGACTTTCTTTCTTTCTTTTTTCTCCCAGTCTCCTACGCTGGGAGATCTTTCCTTTCCTTTTCACCCAGGGTCCTTCAGCAACCATCCATCACTTTCATGTGTGTATAATCTCCATAATGATCCAGAGTAGAGGACACCAAGGAAACAAAGAAAGAAAGAAAGAAAGAAAGAAAGAAAGAAAGAAAGAGGAAGATAAAAGAAAGAGAGGAATAGAAGGGGGAGAAGAAAAAGAAATAAAAAATACTTCTGATTTTCTGTCTGTCAGTTAAATCCAAAAAAATATTCAGAATATGACTTTCAGAAGCTACAGCCCATTTTGTGAGATGCTACATCTTGGCCTGTTGTGATGATGCAACAGCTTGAACCCTGCTTCGCTATGTGTTTTGGCAAATGTCTTTTACCTCCTTGAGGGCACCCCCTGAAGCATGAACACATCTTATTTTCATGTCATGTCACCTCAAACTCTCTCTTTTAAAAAATGTATTAGTGTAATGAAAAGTTGAAACATTATGGGATGGTATTTCAAACAGCTCACCACACCAACTTCATTAGACTTCATTAGCTGCTATATAGATAAAGGAACAGATCGTAGTTGTGAAGTGGTAGTGGTGCCCTGCTCCAGCCTCTACTCAGGGGCAGAACTAGGCTTTATTTCACCTGGGTCAAGGCCCCAGTTTGCAAGGATGCTCATTTTGGGGGGGGCTGGGATCCTCAATGGCGCCCCTCTGGAGGCTTCAGTACAGGTCACATGATCTCCTGCAATGATTTTTACAAAGTTTTTTTGGAGATAAAGTCGCTCAGATTCGGGAAGAGATAGACTCCACCATGGGAGCAGGGCCGGGGCGGGAGAGTGCTAGAGTCCTGTCTAGTCAAGTTGTGTGGGATCAATTCCAATCTGTTAGCTCTGAGGATGTGGACAGGCTGCTTGGACGAGTGAAATCAACCACTTGTGTCCTTGATCCTTGCCCATCCTGGCTTATAAAAGCTAGTCGGGAAGGGCTGGGCAATGAGCTTCGTGGGGTGGTGAATGCTTCTATCTGTGAGGGAGCCTTCCCAGACCCGCTGAAAGAGGCGTTATCAAACTGCTTCTTTAAAAACCATCTTTAGATGTGGCCAATATGGCCAATCATCGCCCAGTCTCAAATCTTCCATTCTGGGGCAAGGTGATTGAGCGAGTGGTTGCTGAACAACTCCAGGCATGCCTGGAAGAAGCGGACCATTTGGATCCCTTCCAGTCAGGATTCAGGCCTCATCATGGGACTGAAACTGCCTTGGTCGCACTGGTCGATGATCTCCGGCAGGCTAGGGACAGAGGTGAGAGCTGTTTCCTAGTTCTGCTGGATATCTCAGCGGCTTTTGATACTATCGACCATAACATCCTTCTGGACCGTCTTGAGGGGTTGGGAGCTGGGGGCACTGTTATACAGTGGTTCCGCTCCTTCCTCCTGGGCCGTGTTCAGAAAGTAGTGGTGGGGGATGAGTGTTCAGACCCCTGGGCTCTCACTTGTGGGGTGCCTCAGGGTTCTGTCCTCTCCCCCATGCTTTTCAACATCTACATGCAGCCGCTGGGGCTGGGTGTTCATCAATATGCGGATGATTCCGAGCTCTACCTCTCTTTCAAATCAGAACCAGTGAAGGAGGTGAAGGTCCTGTGTGAGTGTCGGTTGGAGGCGGTTGGAGAATGGATGGCGGCTAACAGATTGAGGTTGAATCCTGACAAAACAGAATTACTGTTTTGGGGGGACAGGAGGCAGGCAGGTGTGGAGGACTCCCTGGTCCTGAATGGGGTAACTGTGCCCCTGAAGGACCAGGTGCGCAGCCTCGGAGTCATTTTGGACTCACAGCTGTCCATAGAGGCGCAGGTCAATTCTGTATCCACGGCAGCTGTTTACCAGCTCCATCTGGTACACAGGCTGAGACCTTATCTGCCCGCGTACTGTCTCACCAGAGTGGTGCATGCTCTGGTTATCTCGCGCTTGGACTACTGCAATGCGCTCTATGTGGGGCTACCTTTGAAGGTGACCTGGAAACTACAACTAATCCAGAATGTGGCAGCTAGACTGGTAACTGAGAGCGGCCGCTGAGACCACATAACACCGGTCTTGAAAGACCTACATTGGCTCTCAGTACGTTTCTGAGCACAATTCAAAGTGTTGGTGCTGACCTTTAAAGCTCTAAACAGCCTCGGTCCAGTATACCTGAAGGAGCATCTCCACCCCCATCGTTCTGCCCAGACACTGCGGTCCAGTGCCGAGGGCCTTCTGGCGGTTCCACACACACATTTATACACACATAATATAAAAGCAGAAAATCATAGATAGTGTAATCTATTGTAGCTATTACTTCTTAGAAATGTTGAGAAGATATAGCCTGCAGTACGTTTTTGAAGATTAACAAAATAAACTTTCCACTAAATTAAAGATAAGCCCTCATTCTTTTCATACCATCATTTCCTGTTAAGGATCCAGCAGCCAACAGGAAACTAGCAGTTTTCCACTGATGCTGGTTCCCCTCTGCCCTTGTTACCATGGCAATAGCTCTATAGAGCCTTACTATGTAATAAATTATACAAGTTCTTTTTTGTGCATTGCTAGAAATTAGCACAGCTTAATTAAGGTTTAATCAGCTGCTACACCTGGTATCATTAGGTGTTCTTGAGCTACAGATTTACAAATTCATCTGCAGTAGATGAGCTTTCCTTTCTACTCCTTGTTCTGAAAGGTCAAAGAGGATTTTTGTTGCTGTTGTTATTGTAATGGTTGCAGTGTCTACTCTTCCTGCTGAATCCCCTGGTTTTATTTTCCCTACTGGCTTGTTTGTTTGTTTGTTTTTTATAAAGATTTTTATTCAAGATTGATAAGGATTCATTCTCATTCTGTGAGCTGGACTGCTGACTTAATGTTCAACGCCACTTGCCCCAGTTGTCTAATCAGTTCCAGGTTCTCATATGGTTAATTTGAACCTTCCCACTGTTGGTAGGGAAAACAACATGGCAGCAAAAAGGAGCAGGGAATAGGAAAGTGGCTACAATCTCTCTCCCCCCACCCCCAGCCCTGTCACCCACGTTTGTGTAGTCCTGGTAAGCTATAGTTTGCTTTACTGTGTCCTGTGAATCAGGTCAATGTCTCCATCTCATTTGACAAATTATTGCTTCTCAATAGCCATAGAACCCATTAAGTTTTGTAATCTCCACCAGCTGAGCAGTGATGAATCAAAATCCAATTTAATAAGAAAGGTGAGGAAAAACATGCTAGATACACAACCTCAATCTTTATAAAAACCCAGAGTTTCCTTTTGTAGGGACTAGTGCTGCCCTCTAGTGTATTTCTTCTATGACAGTACTGGTTCAATCTATCTAAAGTGCACACACATCTTCTCATCAAAATCTATGGAAAACTACACAGACAGAGAAAAGATCTTTAAATGTTCACAAAGCAAACTAAAGTAAAAGAAAGTGTTACAGCAAGTAGGAAATGCCCTGCTCCAAAGCATTCAGACATCTACTTCTGCAAAAATACCAGGAAGAACATGTTGAATAATCCATCATTTGAGCTCCAAAAAATGAAACATAGTTTGCAGCCATTTTTTTTGTTGATTCCTATTTGCTAGTCGCATTGTCAACCCTGTAAGGGGACAGGGTTGGTGAGGTGTATGGGGAATATGGGAGGAGTTGGTGAGGTCTAAGGAGGGTTAGGGAAAGGGGTTGGCAAGCCTAGCAAGCAGGGGAGCTGCTGTGTGTGAGAGAAGAACTCTCTCTTCATGTGAACCAGGAAGTAACCTATTCAAACGAAGAAGATATCTTAAATCATTCCCAGGGATGCAAAAAAAGAGCTGCTCATACACATCAATGAAGAAATGAATGGATTTAATATAGGGAAAATATTAGAGAAAAGAGCCTAACGAGAAGTGAGTATTCTCAGTGGGTATGGAACACTGACTGACTGGTTTTTGCGAAATGAAAATTGGGCAAGGTAGTGGAATGGGGTGGATGGAATCCTGAAAAGAGCACCACACACTGTAAGCTTCTGTTGTAGGGTTCTACTTGTCTGATACTATTTCTAAGTGCCACCAACAAGCATAGGGCTTATACAGTAAGTAATCTAGTGGTGGCTAGTGTCTACTAGGAGTGCCAGGGCAGAAGGCAGGGACCTGTTAATAGTAGGTGGAACCAGAGTCCATGACAGGAAGAGCCAACTAGTTCAATTTTGTCCCCATGCTCCTCCCTGTTGAGTTGTACAAAGGCAACACTGAGACTAAGGAAGTTGAGGAAGGCGAGAGGCAGTACCCTGGACTGGTTATAAGTGAAAATGAAGGCAGGAGAATATAGCTGAAGGCAAACTGGGGGTGGTGTGGCAGTGCTCCATTCACCTCAATGGGCCAGGCTCCACTAGAGTAATATATGAAAAATAGCCATACAAAAACACAAAGCTCAGGAATATTAGAATGGCCAAATCTCTGTCAATGGAAGGAAAAGCAGTTCCCACCACAAAGAAAATGACAGTGAATTTAAGTCAGAGATAGCAAACTGGATCTGGCTAATGGGCCAGATCTAGAATTGGCCCATCTTTCATGGGCCACTTTTGAGGTCAAGAGATTCAACTTCAAAGGAAGAATTGGGAGTTCACTCTATACAATTCTGTATTGTTATTTTCTACCTTTGCAGATACTTCAGATACTTTCTTTCAACGAGCATTTTCCAGAACTAAAAAGTACTTTCTTTTAAAACTACATTTAAAGTATATCCTTTTAATATTAGAAAATATTACAGTAGAATGAAGTGTTGGCCATGTTCCTACTGTACAAAAATATATGCTTCATTTCTTCTCCTTTAAACAGAAAAATACCAATGGATAAAATACGGTTACACTAAGCCATGCAGCTCTCTTACCTCTAGGACTTTCCCAGTGATGAACTGGTGGCATGCTTCACATTTGACACCAAAGAGAACCTGATAGTCCTTTTCACAGTAAGGTGCACCATCTCTGAAAGTAATCCACATGAAGTAAATCAGTTTCTCCAATACGCTAAATGCATATTTGATGCATTGAAACAGCTGGGGTGAAGACAAGGTAGCTGCTTTGCGCTCAACAATAAAAAAATGTGTCTGTGCAAGTATAATGGCTTCGGCCTTGTATACCTGAAGGAGTGTCTCCACCCCCATCTTTCAGCCTTGAAACTGAGGTCCAGCTCCAAGGGCTGTCTGGCGATTCCCTCATTGCAAGAAGTGAAGTTACAGAGAACCAAGCACAGAGCCTTCTCAATGGTAGCATCTGCCCTGTGGACATCCCGTCAGATGTCAAAGTGATAAACAATTATACAACCTTCCATAGGCACCTGAATCAGGAAGCTTTTAATGTCTGATGCATTGTGTGTTCTTTTATATTCTGTTGGAAGCCACCCAGAGTGGCTCGGGCAATGCAGTCAGATGGGCAGGGTACAAATAATACAATGTTGTGGTTGTTGTATGAGCACGGCTGCCCCACCATGCCATCCACTACTGCTAGGAATACTTATAATAAATGAGTGTATGTCTGACAGTTTAGAGAACTGATCTGACATCAAGTGTCAGGTAAGCCAAGGAAGTGATGCAGATGCCCTGATCAAACAGTTCTATTTTTATGTTTATTTTCAGCACCACTTTGTTTCCTTTGGTATCCTCAGTGACAGAAAAATCTTTCTCTCTTTTTTTTAGCACCACACAAGCGTCATGGTATGGAACAGAGGTGTAAGTTATGCAGGTAGAGCTGTCAATTACACAAGTCAGATAAGAAATAATGGACAGTTCAGTTTATATTAGAAAAGTTTTATCTGGCCATTCAAGCAACAACATTCAGCAAAGACCTGCCTGGAATCAAGAACCTCATGTATTTCAGACACAGATGGATGCATTTATGACACCTATTATTTTAATCTGGCTGTTCAGTTAGTGCCTACAAGTATCAAAAATTCTCTCTTGTATATTGTGCAATATTTCTCTCTTGCCTCTGAAGAATCAGCAATTGCTGCAATTTGAGAAGTGATACTTGATGGAATGATGGCTTACTCTATCTGGGAAGATGAGTGGACACACATTGATTCTCTATTGTGATATGGAGGGAGGTGGAATATAGTGGAAGCAGATTAGATTGTACACTCCTCCACTTCATAAGACAGAGATGCGCAGTGATCTGTTACCAAAATCTATTGCAATTTCTTATGCACTTGCAGACATCCAAGGAGAAGGGAGGCAATACCACTGTATCGCTGTCTGGTTCACATTATGGTCCTCTGATAAGAATGAATCCTGCTGGGCAAAGGGGTCGGTTCTACTGTGGGTATTACCAGTGGATCAAGAGCAGGACTTCTAGCTGAGTACTCACCAGTAGGAACAGTAAGAGATCCTGTCGTAATATATCTTTGGTACTGTCACTTATTCAAAAAACGGGTCAAACCACTGTGTATTTAATGCAACAAAGATAAATGGGGGGCTGCTTACTTGCTGATGTATTCTCCAGTCAGGACTTTTGCACAGGCCTTGCATTTGAAGCATCCCAGATGCCACTGCTTATCCAGTGCTAGTAATGCTTGTCCATTCTTTATATCTCTTCCACAGCCTGCACAATCTGAAAATAAAGCAATATGCGTAGATCAGTTGGCCTGCGTTTCCCCCAGCCAGCCACTCCAAAATTAGACCAGCTACCGTCTCTATGAAGCAATATAATATACTTTATGTACTCCAGCACATAAATTCTATGTAGAACAAAAATTCTAAAACATCTGGCTGGCAGACCGGGCCACATGTTGCATATATTATTTTTAAGTTTAGATACAGGCAAATATAGCCCTGTCTTTGAAAGAAAACAACTGACAATTTTCTTCCAGCTTCACCAAAATGCAAGAATATGATTAATTTTATTTTTGCATACAGCTACTCTAATTAGCATCCAGGATCAAACATTTCCCCCTTTCAAGGAGTTGGGGCTGACAATCCTTTTTATCTCATTCCTCTCATTGTCCTTTACATTTCTACCCTCTAGATGGCAGTAACTCTCTAAATGTTGTCATGAAAAGCTAGTAGGTAGAATATGTAAGGGGTAAGGGTATAAAAGATCTGGTTGTTTTCTTTTAAGGAAACCAGAGCTTCATTCTCTGCTTCTCTTGGGTATAGGTATAGAAAAAGTATACTAAAAGAAAGAATTTCAACAGATATTTCAGGCTGGTAAAAAAAGGAACAGGCCAATATGCCTAGACTCTACTTCAGAACTTGGGAGTAAAGGCAACCTTGTCCTGATTTTCTGAAATTATCTGAACCAAGAAAAAAGCTAAGGGAATAAAAGCTGCATCAGGAAGTATGAATGTATCTACCTTCCTTTACAAGGTATTGCAAAACTGTGGTCATAAATGTTGGAACCAAAAAGCTAAAGAATATTTTCTGCATTGAAAATCGACACAGAAAGTCAATTCAATAAATAAATAAGTGTATTCAAAATTCACAGATGATTGTGATTCATTCAAATAACCAACTTTTTAGTGCGTAACACTAAAAATCCGGTTCCATTGTGAATATTAAACTTTTAAAAATATTGCAACTGGCTTTGTCATTAGGACAAGAAATAAAAGAATAAACAAAGATCCATTTTGATGCCTCAGTATCTCAGCTCCACTATTTGCTTTTGACATCCTTATATTAACACACACCAACTGATGTGAATCAGCAGTCAATGAACAACGAAAGGGAAACCAGTCTAGTCACTGTGGAAAAGGACTAGTTCAATTAGTATATATAAAAAAAACCCCTGATCTGTGCAGTTCAAACTATTCATGGAACCTTTTGAGTGTAAATACCCAGAAAGCCATGGGTTACAACAACATTATCTTGTGCCAATGTGGCTACTGGAACCTCTTGCCCTTATATTGTAATGAAATATCACTGTGTTGTCATGTGAGAAGATTTTTACCCTGGCTACAAGTTTCACAAACCCATGAAAAGCCAATTAGACTTCCAAAAGCCACTGTTTTTAACTATTTATTATTCCCTGTAACATGTTTTGCATAACTCCAAAAGCATGCAAAAATACTCTCCAAATCAATGAAGTGATGTCAGTGAATGTTGGACTAGCTTGTTATACTGCAACTCTTAAATTATAATTTCCTTGTAGCATCTAGCTGCTGGACAGGATACTGAACTAGAAGAAACACTGATCTAACCAGTGAAATGAACACTACCATTGTGTCTTACTTGTGAGCTTTCCAGAGATGTTTCACTGGCCAGATCAGTAGACAGAATATCAAGTTAGAAGGACCATCAGTCTGATCCTGGATGACAGTCTTTATATTCAGACAGTACAGGTCAGGTGTCCCCAAATGGTATTGACTCATAGTAAGCACAAGCCCTGAGTTGCATATATTTTGGTTAAAAATTAAAGTGCTCCAGGGTGACTTTAGAATGTCCAAAAGATTTCCTATTTGATGCCCAACAGCCAGGAATTTGAACTGGCCATCAAGAAATACCAAAAAATATAGACTTGGGGGCCAGACATGAAGTGTTGTTCCAAGAAGCAAATGGATTCAGACTATGGACGGTGAAGAGATTGCTTCTTCCTATCTGCATCACTTGCATAGGTGCTCTGTTCCCTTGGGGTGCCTCAGGGTTTGCTGACTGTATATTTATAGGTATTTTTAATTGTTTAATGTACCCCTACATTGATTAAGCAGCTTATACATTCCTTAAAATATAATCATCTTCCTCCGCCAAACTTAGCCACTATAATGGACCCATCCACTGATCTATCATGTACAAATGTGGAAAAAAGAATCCCACAATTCCATTTATCTGTACCTTGTTTTGATAAAGAGAGCTATAGATGAGACCCCATATTATGAAATGCACAATAATGCAGAGCCCATCAGCCAAGTAGCATCAAGAAATAAATCTGTCAAAGAAAATGCTTCAAAGCCAATTTATTTTACTTTTGCTAAGAGCAAAACAAATCCTTGCCAGCAGCTACAGAAGAGCCTTGCCATCAAAAGTGGCATGCATACAACAAAGGGACCCAATTTCCTCAGGGAAATGAGCTTCATCTTCTAACAGAGTAATGATCAGAAGCAAGTTTTACTTGACGTCCAAAGTAAAAGCTTATTTTTTGAATTGTGAAAAATATCTTGATTTGTGTCTTTCAAATGGTTTACATTTGGGGGGGGGGAATCCAATTATATGGCAGTATAAACAGAATTATTGCCCCCCCCCCACTGCTGCAAAAAAGCATTTGTGTGTGTGTTGTGTATAGTTACTTACTTGAATAGTATTATCAAGCTTAAAAACAGAAATAAATGGTAGTCTGGGCATTACTGGCTACATCAGAGGTTTTCAAGTTTTCTATTTCCAGAGAACATTTTGCACATCAAATTATCTCCTGAGAATCTCCTGAGCATGTGCCACAGAAACCATGCACGGTCCAGTGGATTATGGAGCATGTTTTAGGGTGCATGTTCTACAGCTGGTGAGACTTATCATAGCACCTGGTGGACAGCTGGACAATTCCAGAACACAGCTTTGTGGCTGCCCATTTTAAGGCAAGGCTGGGATAACTATGGTCCTCCAATTGTTGATGGACTACGGTTTGTACCATTAGCTATGCTGGCAAGGGACTACTAGAGCTACAGCCCACCATTACCAGGAGGACTGCAGCTTCTGCATCACCATGCTAGGGGAGGAGCATAAGGATGAGATTGTCTGCTATTATTATTATTATTATCATCACCCTTTATTTTTCTTCATCATTACTGTACGATTCTCTGAAACACCTTTTGACAAGCATTGTTATTAATAGTTTGCTTTACTCCCTTATCAGTACTTCATACAACGACTGCTTATAACTCAAAACAGACAGTTTTTTCGGCCAAACACACAGCAGCTCTTAAAGGTCTAGTTTTATGTTAGCATATTCAAACCAGCATCAATCGGAGGAATTCAACTGCAGGTATCATGCTCCTGGACAGTCGTTGCGCCATTGTACTTAATGAATATACAGAGCAACTAACTGAACAGTGAAGGGTAGTCCCATCTAGTGGAGTTCTAGGCAATCAGTATACATGCCCTTGTACTAACTGAAGAGCTGGCTCACTGATAAGGCAGGATGAAGCGCCAGTCACAGTACACACACACACACACACACCTTGCAAGAACACTGCCCCCTCTCACCCAGTCTGTGAGAGCAAGGAGCATTCCAGCATGGTGCATTGCCTCTCCTCTTTCCCACCTCTGGGACAGAGAAGATGCACTGCAACACCTTGTGGAACGCTTCCTCCTCCCACTGAGTCTGCAAGAGGGGAGGCGTTCCACTGCTGAGCTTTGCCACTGAGCGGGAAGGGAGGTTTGACAAGGGAGAAGTGGTTCCCAAAGCTCCCCTAGCCCAGCCCAGAAGGGTGGGAAGGCTTTGCACTGGCTGCTTCTTAAGAAACCTGCACAAAGCCTCCCTGTTGGATGGGAAGGGAGCTTCGTAAGGCATTTCTCCTTAAGGAGAAGCGCTTTCCAAAGCTTTCCCACCCCAGCCTGGAGCAGTGGTGAGGCTTTCCAAGGGATTCTCCTTTCTGAGCCTTTGCAAATCCTTGTCACTGGGCATGTGGGGGTGGGGATTCTACAGGAGCCTTTTCGCCTCAGGTGCCAAAACGTCTTCGGCCACCCCTGACTAACTGTACAAATGTGCAGTTTGGGGCTATATGCTAGACTGAAAGCACAAAAGTCTTCTCTATCAACACCCCTCAAAAAACTCCCAGAACTCCCAGTGAACTGTTGCCAAGGCCCATCAGAATGCAACACTTTAAGAAGCAGGGGACAGAGAGGATATCTGCTACCTTTGGCCTTGTTGCAGCAGTATGGGAATATGAATACGTCGCAAAAGAAATTTTCGACAGAAGACAGTGCTGCAGGAGACATATCTAAAAGTGATCCATTGCAGGGATGGCTTTTTTGTGAAACCAACTTGGATTTATATTTACTGTTTGTTTCTACATGCTTCTATATTAGGATGTGATGGTGGAGGATTAGAACACGCATATTTGAGACTAGAGATATATATCTCATATCATTTCAAAAAGCAGCTGAGGGCAGAGTCAGAAAAAAGGGGATAATATTGCTTGGGGATCTAATCTGACTGGTCTGTATTTTGCCAATGCCTGCAATAAAATGCTTTTTATAAAATAAATCTATTTTGACATATCATAACTGACGTTCACCATACGCAAATGTCATGCCCTATATAATCACTTTCACTGCAGGCTTTCTAAGCTATGTTCTTACAGTTTACAACACAGTGACACTTTGTTTAAACTCTGTTCTTTCAACTTACATTGACACTAATACACATACATTCAAACCTACACACACCACGTAGAAATAAAAAGATTTAAAGTTTCTCTGTGCAGAATTGTAACACAGGAACCTGAGAGACCTGGAAACCATACATTTGCCCTGAGAAATACTGTGGATTCTGCAATGGCTACTATGACACAGCAACAAGAGATCTATTTATTTTCAGTATCACAATATTTCCTTAGTATCAACAGATATATAGCATATGGAGGCAAAATTTAAACCCTAGTGAGTGCCTGTGATTGGGCTGCA